TTTTGAAGGTTTTATATGCTTCTCCGTGAGCTTGGGGGCAAGTTTCAACTCTTTTTCTCTCTGCTCATCTGCCACTTTCTCAACGTAACAGAATCGAACCTTTAGTTAAGTAAATTTTAGGTTCAGCCTATAGATATATTAAACTTACTGCGCATTTTTACCAAGCACATTTTTGATACTCACCATTTTAGTCGGAAGATTATATTTCGTAACAACAGATGTTGGCAATTCAATGCCATGATTCATAAAAGCTGTTCGTAAATTTTTTATCAGGTGCGGTAGGTACATTGGCAATAAAATGAAATTTCCTATGTTCGAAAGCAGGGCGAGGCACAGAGCAATTCACTTCGAATCTAAAATAGAGTAACCAATGAGAAGTTAATATGGTGTAAATTGTAATAGATAGGCTTCTGCGTGATATATGTATACGCGGATATCACATCCTTCAAATTATTCAAACCTGTTAGAAACTATCCCCGCACTTCTCTACATTGCTTGATTGCTGGATCCCATGTCACTGACAATAGAAACCATCGTGAATCCACGTTCTGATAGACCTAATATAATTTGTTTGGTCAAGCACCATAGGTCATTTCCGCTCACAGAAGTTTCGGTGTAAAATATGATGTATGATGTCAGGCAAAGAATTTTCCAAGTTAATGTTTGTTATGCGGCTCCGATAATCACTTTTAATGAACACCATTAATGAGAATCCTGCCTCACATACGTAAGTAGTTCCGAATCGCACAAGAACTTGCAATGCTCGATTTCTAACTGCTGAATACTTGTTTGGTAACTGTATCCAAAACTTTGCTAAATCCTGAAACATATCAAAATTGATTCTTGCTTCATTGTCTGCCTGCAATCCAGCCATCTCAAGTGCAATAGCACCGCATTTCGTGGTACCGATATCAGTTTTAAATGGAAATTGTACAAAATCGAAAGATTCCGCTATCAAATCTTTAAATTTATATTTTCTGTCAGATTTCTCAAGTAATTCAGCAAATCTTTTTTCGCTTCTCCGAAGTCTAGTTCCCCATGAAAATCAACATCTATCGTAGCATTAAATTTCTCTAAATGACAAAAATAAGAATAAAAATTATTTCAGCTTTTTTTCAAAGTATCTGCATCTTGCTGACAAAAGCTTTTATTGATCTTTGAAAATCAAACGCCCATTTCCCGTTCGCCTGAAGTTGAGTGTTAAGCTTATTAACGTGTTCAAAAACGTCAGTAAGAAGCGCAAGGCGAGCAAGAAAGTGTGGATCATGAAAATAACGAGCGTTCTCGTGCCCTTATCTTGCAAAAATATGGCAAGTTCACGACGAAGAAGGAAAATCCTTTCCAAAGTTTTTCCCCTTGACAGCCACCTGACAGCAGTGTGCATTAATAATGTGTGATGATTTGAATTTTCAGTAATGCACAATTGTTTGAACAAGCGGGAATTTAGTTCTCTAGCTTTCACATAATTGACAGTGGATATGACTATCTGCATTACATCAGAGAAGTTCGGAGACAAGTTTTTTGAGGCCAAATTCTGACGATGAATTACAGTGGTTTATCTTAATCTGAGGATATTCCCTAGCAAGATTTCCCAGAACTCCAATATTCTTTCCCATCATTGATGGGGCCCCATCCATACCACATTCGATCACTTTATTTCAATCTAGGTTATTTTCAGTGAAGAACTTATCAATACCACTAAAAATATCTTCGCCTCTTGTGGTTTCAAGTGAAATGCAAGCAAGCAGTTCCTCAGTGACTGAGCTCTCTTTCAAAAATCTTCCAAAGATCAGAATCTGTGCGTGTGCTGTTGTATCAGTTGACTCATCCACTGCCAGGGCTGTCCATGGCGAATTTCTGAAATCCTCTAAAATCTGTTCTTTTAGATCAGCTGCAATAGTTTGAATGCGTCTTGTTATAGTATTATTACTAAGAGCAGAATTATTAACAGCTTCCTGTACCTCTCTAGCAAAAAGTTCACACCCTCAAATACTTCACAAAACTTGTTTAAAGCAGGCTTTATAATAGTCTCACCCTCAGTGAAAGGTCGCTTATGCCAGCAATAAGAAAAGCTGTCTTGTAAGAAAATATTTCGATCTTTTCTTTTTGTGGTAGAACCCTGCATAAAACTGCCTGCGACTTGATTAAACTTTCATAACGATAATGGAAAACTCTCTTGCGGGCGGGCCGCTTCTGACATGACAGCAATATTTGCATTTCGATTAATTCTATTACACACGCACGTTATACATGATCTTATGCACACTGCCTGTGGCTCGAACTTACTTTACTTATCCCTTGACAAAAAAAATTTGGGCGTGTTTACTTTATAGCAGGGGTGTGCAACCTTTTTCGCAGGCGGGCCAAATATCAATAACCGGGTTAAACCGCGGGCCGCACCTACATTTCACACAGGCTTTCTATAGTTGCAGGCACAAAATGGTGTCTTAGAACTGTAATTTAAAGATATATATTGTTGCACCCAATTTAAACGAATTCAGTGAGAAATTTTCTGCTGGATTCTTTTCCCGACTACTTTTATCCAAATTTGCTTAAATGGAAGTGCTACCAATTCGATGCGACGCCCATTTTAGAACAAAAATATATTACCGAAAAGTGCCATATTTGAAGCCATGACTTTTTCAAATGTGGGAAGTAACTTGATTGAGAAGTTTTCAGTAAAATACGCCAAGTTTCATTTCCAAATAATTTGCTGTCAAATCTTATTCTAGGTTCGATTTAGACAACATCAACTGATAGGCTGGAACCAGAACTCATTTAGCTATTTTATCTTTTAATATTAAAATTTTTCAAACTGCTATTCAGTTGACTCCGCGGGCCGCACAATTTTCCCTTGCGGGCCGCACTTTGCACACCCCTGCTTTATAGCACATACAGGTAGAGCAAGTGCTTACTTGCCTCTGCTAGCCTATCATTTATAAAAAGCCTAGATTAGAAAAAAAATCGAATGCTTAATAGCAAGTATATGCTATTTTGATTGAAGACATAGAAAAGCCTAATATACCCTTTCACTGCTATTCCACCTTTAAATTAATTATTAGTCCCAATACCTGTCAACCTACTTATAACAAACTGTCTTTACTGCAGAGTACATACAACAATAAGTGTGTTTCCATGGACAATATTACTAGGACGAATTAAATTCCTAGATGGCGAATTAAATTGAATTCTGGTTATTTTTTGCATGACCAGTGGTGTTAAACTTTAGTTATCTATTCAACCTTTCACACTTAGTAATAGATTACCTGCTAATCAGGAAACAATACCTTACAGCAATTGATTATTAATTCCTTACTGTCTTACACAAGTCAAGTCTGCAACTGCAAGTAGGCCCACGCCTAGGCCTACTAATAACAGTAGTTGATTATTAGATTATTAATTCCTTACTGTCTTACACAAGTCAAGTCTGCAACTGCAAGTAGACCCACACCTAGGCCTACTGATAACAGTAGTTTGTCATCTGCTTTCCATTGAAATGAGGGAGCTTGTGAATATTTAAAGAAATTGATAACGGCACACTATCACCACATTATCACTCACCATCAACGAAGTGCTGTCCGCAAACAGTGAAACACAAGTAAGATGCCTTCTGGACTTGACACCAAGCAGTTCTGCCAATAGGCAATAGATGATATCCACATTGCGCGACGTTCAGGATCTTTTGAAATCAGTGGAATATTACTGAAGATCCATTTCGTCCATGTCTATACTATACGTACAGCCAACATAACAACGAAATAACCATTTTCAACAACCAAACAAAACGCAAACGTATAATCCGACTTGCATCTGACAGGAGCCAAATGGACGTTTTTGTTTTATTGCCGTCCAGTAACAATGTCACGTGACCCGTGCAAAGCCTCTATATACCGTAAGAATTAATGGCTGATGGCGCATCATTGCTGATAGTGATGTTCTATTTTATAACTTTCAGATTCCAGAACTGAAGCTCTCTTGAGAGAGTATTTCGGGAAGAATGTGAAAAAAGTATACCTGCATTTGCATCAGCTTTGGAGAATTTAACAAATAAAATATTAGAGAACTATTTATTCAACTATAACAAGGCAAAATTGAAAAATAAGTAAAATAACAAATTAGTCACACACTTCCATACAGTTCAAAGAGGTAGTCGGCAATGACCCCCTGGGTGTTATTTTTAGCACCTTCATCCCGGATGCCAATAGTTGGAGGTTGTGGCGCTTCATTTAAGGGATTCCTTGGCACTGGGGCTTGCTCGGTTTTGCAGATATTGTGCATAATACAACACGCTGCAATGATCTTCGGTGCCTCAGCGACTCTAACATCTAGCCGCCGAAGAATCCGCCACCTGGCTTTCAGCCGGCCAAAACAGTTTTCCACTGTTACACGTACCTGCAGAAATAGCTCATGCTTAGTGGATTATAACATGTGTGTGTTTGAGCACATAAAAGTGCCTGTTTACCTTACTATGGTGCTCATTATATCTCTCTTGCCTGGGCGTGAGAGAAGACCCAGTGTATGGGCGTAACAGCCATGGTAAAGAGGGGTACGCGCTATCACCAACGATGCATCAGGGCACTGGAGATCTCACCCTGCGCCAGAATACAATATTTAGTAGGAATCAACATAATTTTAGAGTCTGGAATGCTCAAGCTGTCCTACCGAAGGGAGCATTTCAGAGTTCCTGTATAGTCCAGAAGCTCTCAAGACTGTAGCATCATGAACGCTGCCTGGCATCTTGATACTGATGTATGTCTCTGAATCTGATATTTAACACTAACAAATAACACTACAGAATGATATCAAAATTCTAGCTTTTATTGCACAGACATGAACAAAAAACAGCACAACAAATATGACATTGATTGTACATACAACAGAAGACAGTAAATGGACAATGACATAAAACATGACAAGACATAAAATGTGATTGACTTGAACAAACAAAAGTCTTAGCGCTAACACAAAAACTGTGGTGTAGTCGCATTTTTATAATTTGCCCATATAACACATAACAGAAAAACCAAAATGTAATAAAATAAGTAAATTTTCAACTAGCAAAAACTTAAAAAATGTACTAACCTACATTTTCCGATTCACATAATCTCTTAACCCAGATCTTGATGGTTTAATGTGAATGTGGCTCCCATCCATAGCCCCGAAACATTGTGGAAACCCAGTTAGTTGCTGATTGGCTGCTGCTATGGTTTTTGCTTCGGCAGCGGTTGGTAGAAAAATGAATTGCTTTCGATGCTTGATGAGACATTCACAAAATCTACTCAGATATGGATAAATGAGAATACAAGCAATCATGAAAGTGAACTCAACTATTGGTGAAATATACATACCTGTGAACAGATGTTCGATGTACCCCAAACATGTTCCCTGTGGTCCTAAATTCAGCGGTTGATCCCAATTGGTATACTGCAATCGCAATTCGTTTGTGTAGCGATAGTGGCGTACGAACACACCTTTTGTCGACATAAAAAGAATGCACAAATGAGTAAACATATTGAAGGAGCCTTGAAACTTTATGCAACTGTAATTTATGTCTTCAATGTTAGGTAGTTCGCATTGTTACATAAGATAATATCATTAAATAAATTATTTACCCGGCTCTAACTCGCTACGTGATAATGTTGTTAACATAGAAAATGTTTCTTTTCGTGTTCTAAAATTCGATAACCATTGTTGTTCACTGTAATTTTTCATCGCATTCAGCCACCAATCATCTGGCCTGAAAAGCATATTGTCAAAATTTTAGCTCATATGGTACTGCTGTTACTGTACAAACACACTAAATTTATGCTCGATATAGGCTAATATGTTACCAACGGTGCTATTATGATTTAATAAGTTACCGTAGTTTGGCATGTACAAAACAAAGGAATTACCGGTACTCCATCCATATTTTTCTTGTAATTCTTTCCGTTTCCCAATAAGTCAATGCCAGCAACGTCCTAATTCTTCTCGTGTGTAACCATAAGACCATCGCCTGCATTGCGAAAAAAAACGCTAATAAATTCTTCACTCTGTCCATATTCAAAATAATATCGAGGAGAGAAATCTAAAGACAAACACGAGTAACAGATTTATATGACTTTAAATTCTCGATTGAATGGAAACAGGTCGCGGTTTTGTGTCCTAGTCCGCCCTAGTACACGCGCCCGACTGCGCCCTAGTAATATTGCCCATGGAAACACGCTTAATTTCTAGTCTGCAAATCAGCAACGTCTGAACGTGCCACTCCCATCATGAACAATCAAACAGTGATGTCACAATGGGCACCTAAATTTTCTATAGCATAAACATAGAGCGATGCCTATAGGCCTGTTTTACAGTAAGCCGTGGTACAAACTGCTTAATTAAACATGGTTTATCAAATCTTAGATGTTTTGTACATCCATCTTTTACCAGCGACCCCACGGCCCGTTTGCGATCCCACCTACTTATCACTTTGACCCAATTTGGGGTCGCGACCCCTGGTTTGGGAACCCCTGCTCTAAATAGACGTCCAGTGGGTCTTGATTTATACTGCTTGGGAAAAAATAGCTCAACCCCTGTCCAAAACAATACGAATAATCGAAGCCATTTCTCGTGGCATCACTGAGCAGCATTTTCTCGCGATCATCTTCTCCCACTAATGGCCGACTGTATGCCTTTTCTTCCTAACCATCCAGGTATTTCAGAAACTCTTTCTTTCCCAAGCCATTCTTATATTTTATCGTGGGTGCTGTGAAACGGCTGGTGAGAGGGTTCAGCATTTTTATTCTGGAATCCTGAATTCATGCAGTCGAACCACTTGTCTGAATTTAAAATAAACTCTGCTAAACCCTCAAAACCACGAACCATCTGAATCAAATTCATGCTGTTTCAACCTTACAGGAGTATATATCTTATCTACAGTATAAGACAACGTTTGTGCTGCGATACGAACACTCATTTTATCCCACGGTATTGAATTAATATGTGATTCAGAGATTTTATAAAAGAGCCTCAACTCTCCCCGCTTTAGATCTTCCCAAAAAGAAAGTTTTTGCATGATGAAAGTGTTAAGCAGAGGCTTTTACAACGACATAGATTCATACCCTTATCAGATGCTTTACAGGTTCCATATAGATGTTTTCTCCGTTCCACATATTTTTTTCCTACTAAGCAAATTATTACGGCAGGTTCTCAAAAGGTGAGGTGGATCCGGCCTCATGTAGATGTACCTTTGAATTTCAAATTGTTGCATTACAACCATGCCCTTAAACATACGAGTGCCATCACATACAAATAAAAAGTATTGTATACCGAGTAACATCAGCTGGGTTTCTCATCCTGTAAGGCAGGGGTCACCAAACTTTTTTGACCGCGGGCCGGGTATGACTCAAATTGTGTTGAAACGGGCCGGATGAATATTTTTGTCAATGCAATACAATAAATTCACAAATGTTGGGAATATCGCAGAATATAGATCGAGAACATCCTAGGAAAAAAAATTAACAAGATTTCTATATCTAGACAACTATCCTGAGTTTAGCTGTTATCAAAACGTTGCTGTCATGAATTAGAAATGTTACAAAATCCGCGGCAAAAATTGTACGCATCACGTCTGCTAAGTACCGTTACGCCGTGTTGAAATACCGCTCATAAAAACGACTGCCTGCTGTAGCTTGGAATTCTATGAAATTTTGACATAATTTAGATAAAATGAACAACTATTATCTGGTATTTGAATTTTTTCATTAGCGCATAAATTTCCCAACATTCGACGCTTTTAAAAATTACGCTCCAGTTATACGTAGTGCAAATTATTGATATTGTCTATGGACACCAATAAAATTTATATGGACGTGTGTATTTCTTGTCTAACTTGATACTTACCAATTTTTATGAAGTTCGTACAATCAGAACATCGTTAATTATTACCCACAATGAACCACTGTCAAACTATCATGCACAACTCCAGCGTTTATTTGCGACGATCTTTCGGCGGTGTCAATGACTGTTGCCAGAATAAAATCCTGAAATTATCTCAATATACCATAGATGTGACGCACATCGAAAGATTAGTGATTGATATGTGTTATTTTTCCATATTTAGTACAGTTCTTATCAAAAAAGTAAGACAATCATTATGGAAAAAATTGGCTGTCGGGCGGTACTAAAATTCCGATATCCCCGTTATTTCTTGACCGTTTATTCCAAACTTGGTATTGTTTTCTATTTTTACTCAGATCTTTCCACTGGAGCAGTTTTTGTTTAAATCGGATGAACTTCCATTTTTTTGTAACATACCTACATGAATATCCGCATTAAAGCAGTACAAAAGTTAGTGTGTCTTTTGAAATTGGAGCAGTACGCGAGGGATTACAGTACTGTTAGCACAAAATGCACATTCGACGTTTATTTTAGCACGAAAAACAAACAGTTTCGTCAAAAGCAAGCGCCACGAGTGTACAAGTGTATCGCAGAAAACGTTACGTACTGGTAGCATTCAAAGTCGCAAAAACGAAGTTTTGTTTACAACCACGACTGAAAATCTGTCAGGGTGACAAAAGTGTCTGAGCGGATGCGGAAAGGCCTATTATTACGTCACTTTTCCGCATCTTGCCGATTGGCCAATGTTACGAAATAAACAAGGACGACGATGCTCGTGAAAATCTTCCTTGGAAAAAAATTTAGCCATTTTTGCGTGTTATTGCGGACCGGATAAAATGACGCCGCGGGCCGGATAAAATGACGTCGCGGGCCGGATCCGGCCCGCGGGCCGTAGTTTGGTGGCCCCTGCTGTAAGGAATCCTGTTCTCTTTGGCTGCCATGAATAGCTGACCTATTTGCTGCGAGACCATCAACTACAAAATGAAAACCAAAACTTTATAATTCTGATATATACTGATGCTGAACTAGGCCTAACTGTAATATAATATACAGGAATGCAATTAATTTTCTGTGTCTCCTTCACCGATACCTGTGAATGTTCATTGTTACAAATTTTTGTCAAGAGATAGTTCTACGCTTGACTACGTAATTTCCAATGGCTAAATGCACACAACGTATGTCTATGTCTTATCAAAATGATTCTGAAATGGGAGCATAAATACACCCGTTGCTTTAGTTTAAATGACTAAATTAAAATAGCAAAAGGAAAATTACCGGTAACGTTACCACACAAATTTACCGATTCTTTTAAAGGCATTCCGAATTTCTTTTTTTTTACCATCCCTGACATAATATAAATGATCACCATTCCCAGATAAACGTTTGCACCCAGGAATGCAGCAGTAAGATCCAGACCGCCGTTTGGCTGGAACCATAATTGACTAATAAACAAATTACCAAGCATGTAATTACTAATCATCATGTAGAGATGATTTTGAGCTGCTGTTATTTGTCATAATAAGGGTCTGTGTATGTCCTGAGAACTTGGTTTAATTTATTCTTGATTGCATTCAGTCAAACCAAGCATCTCTGCTTACCCTTTACGACGTGTCACGAATTTTAAACCGATGTAGTGCACATTGCTTGTATATGAAATACGAAACATGCCTGGGATTTTCGAATAAATTACTACTAGTTTTATAATTCAGTATTTACTCCAATTTCTAAACATGTGATTTTGAGATGCGATTTTGAAGCATATTGTTCAATACCTAAATTACGTTCATGCAATTTTTCACTGAATGTATACCTGAAACCCAAATGTTTATATCAGAGGCTACTATGTGCGTTTATTCCGTTTTATATATATACCTCTTTTACACGCGGAACATAGCACGATCAAAGTAACGTCTCCACAATAGAAAACAACATGATACCATCGCGGACGCAAATCACAGCCAATCTTTCTTGTATTATCAATACTTGTTTTCTCTTCCACGCACCCTGCTTCTGAACAATAACTGCAGTATGCCTCCATGCAATCTGTCAAAAGAAATTCATCAATTGCGTGATGTATGAATAACTAAAAAAAGTTGATAATTAGGCACCGAAAACTTTTTTGTACCGAAATTTTGAATTGTCCGACTGGAAATGTTAGTACTTTCATCTATAGGTGACACAATGAATGTCATTTTCGATTTTAGCATCATAATAGCGATCTGCAATTGAATATGAAAAATATTCTATGAACATCACCTATATAAGCAACGAAAAATGTTGAAGTAATAAATAAATTGTTCGGTAAGTGACAATTAAGTCATCAGTATCAACAATTTGACTAGAAAATATATATATTCAAATTCGTACGGCTTCCCCTTTATTTTGAAACGTAAACTCCTCCAAACTGGATCCATCCTTTTGAATAGAATATTGAAGACTTGTGAGAATTCTTTGCATTCGTGAGTTCATCCACAATGCTAAAAGACCTTTTTAAACTTAAAATTATTCGAAGAAAGGTGTAATTACTGTAGATGTAATACTTGAAAGAATATATTTCAATTCATAAGAATATCTTACCTTTTTTCTTTATTTTCCAACGTACACGAAGAATCTTCTGAATCGAAAGCTGTGCCATATAAGGTCAGTTGAATCGTATAATGAAACCAATTCCGCATAATTTTATTACCGCCCATGTCATTCCATCGGTCGAAAGTGATTATCAAGATTAAAATTATATTTATTCACCAATTTGACCGATAGTTTGCTTCTCGTACCATTCAAGACCAGTTAGAGCAAAATTAGTTGCATACGCCAATGCTGTACAGTAATTCTACGGTCCCTGATCGACGACGTAGACCTAGGATCCGCAGATACGAACATAAAAAATATATTTAACCACCATTTCTCATCATATACCGTGTTTCCCCGGAAATAAGACCTACCCTGAGTTTTGAGAATAATTTTTATATAAGCCCTCCCTTTAAAAAATAAGACCTAGTCAGTAACACGGATTTTTTTTTCGACCTGGTGTTTTAAATGATTGTTAA